CAAGGCTGTCATTCAGAATTGAAGGTAAAATAAAGAGCTTCTCAGACAAAAAAACAAAAAACGCTAAAGAAGTTTTTACCACCAAACCAGCATTGCAAGAAATGCTAAAGGGACTGTTGTAAACAGAACAACAAATATATACAGAAAGAGGAACATAGGCTTTAAAAACTGGCAATAAATAAGTACCTATCAATATCTTGAAATGTAAATGGATTAAATGTTTTAATCAAAAGACATAGGATAGCTGAATGGATAAGAAAACATGACCCATATATATGCTGTTTACAAGAGACCCACTTCAGAACAAATAACTCACACAAATGGAAGGTGAAGGAATTGATAAAAAATTTCCAAGTAAATGGAAACAAAAAAAAAGCAGGGGTAGCAATACTTCTATCTGACAAAACAGACTTTAAAACAAAGGCTATAGCAAGAGACAAAGATCACTACAATAATACTAAATGGATCATTCCAAAAAGAGGATTTAACCCTGGTAAACATTAATTCACCCAATGTAGGAGTACCTAAATATATTTTAAAACTCCTAAAGGACTGTAAGGGAGAGAGAGACAGCAATAGAGTTATATTACAAAACTTTAACACCCCACTGGCATCACTGGTTAGATCTTCCAGACAAAAATCAATAAGAAAACAGCAACCTTAAACAACACACTAGATCAGATGGCTTTAGTTGATATTTACAGAACATTTCATCCCAAAGCAGCAGAATATACATTCTCTCAAGTGCACATGGAACATTCTCAAGGGTAGACCACATGTTAGGACACAAAACAAGTCTCTTACAAGTTCAAGAAGATTGAAATGTCAAGCATCTTCTCAGAACACAACAGCATGAAGCTAGAAATCAACTACCAAAAAAACCCTCAAAAACATTCAGATGCATGGAGGTTAATCGGCATGTGATTAAACCGTTAATAGGTTACCAGTGAGATCAAAGAAGAAATAAACTTTCTGGAAACAAATGAAAAACAAAAAACCACACACAACAATGAAAAATCTATGGGACACAGTGAAAACAGCCTGACAGAAAAATAATACCTTTACAGGCCAACCTCAAAAAACAAGAAAAAGCTCAAATAAGTTATCTGACCATACAGCTAAAAGAATTAGAAAGGGAACAAGAAAACCCAGAGGAAGTAGAAGGAAGGAAATAATAAAGATCAGAGTAGATATAAATGACATACTGACTGAAAAAAAAAATACAAAATATCAATGAAACCAAGAACTGGTTCTTCAAAAAGATAAACAAGATTGATGAACCTTTAGCTAGCTAGACTCATCAAGAAATGGAGAGGAACTCAAAATCAGAAATGAAAGAGACAAAGTAACAGCTGACACCAGAGAAATACAAAGGATGGTGAGAAAATATTATGAGCATCTATATGCCAACAAACTGGACAACCTGGATAAAATAGACAAATTGGAAAGGAGGAAGTAAAACTGTTCATTATTTGCAGATGACATGATATTGTACATAGAAAACCCTAAAGACTCCACCAAAAAACTACTAGATTAAATAAATAAATTTGGCAAAGTAGCAGGATACAAAATTAACATCCAGAAATCGATGGCATTCTTATACACCAATAATGAACTCCCAGAAGGAGAAACTAAAAAACAACCCTATTTACCATTACAATGAAAAAAAAATAAGACACTTAGGAGTAAACTTAAACAAGGAGGTAAAAGACCTGTACTCAGAAAACTATAGGACATTGAAAAAAGAGATAGAGGAAGATACAAACAAGTGGAACCATATGCAGTGTTCATGGATTGGAAGAATTAACATTATTAAAATGTTTATACTACCCAAAGCCATCTATAGATTCAATGTAATCACTATTAAAATATCAATGACATATTTCAGAGATCTAGAAAAAATACTTCAAAAATTTATATGGAACCAAAATAAAACCCCAAATAGCTGCTGCAGCAATCTTGAGAAAGAACAAAGTTGGAGGGACCACAGTACTGGATATCAAACTGTACTACAAAGACATTGTAACCACAGCAGCTTGGTACTGGCACAGGAACAAGCATATAAGATCAATGGAACAGAACAGAGAACCCAGAAATTGACCCATGCCAATATGGTCAATTAATATTTGATAAAGGAGGCAAGAGTATACAATGGAGTAAAGAGTCTCTTCAAGAAATGGTTTGGGAAAATTGGACAGTTGCATGCAAAAAAATGCAACTAGATCACCAACTTACACCATACAAAAATAAATTGCATGGAACAGACCACAAATCTCAGAGGGAAGAGGGGTAGGAAGAGATTAACCAAAGAACTTATATGCATATATACATAATTCATGGACACACAATAGTGCGGTGAAAGACTGGGGTGGGACAGGCTGGGTGGAGAGCATCAAAGGGGGTGACAACCATAATACTTTCAACAATAAAGATCCTTTAAAAAAAAAAAAAGAATAAACTCAAAATGGATAAAAGACTTAAATGTAAGACATGAAACCATAAAAATCCTAGAAGAAAACTTAGGCAGTAAAATCTCAGACATCTCATGTAGCCGAATTTTTGCTGATACATCTCCTAGGACAAGAACAACAAAGGAACAAATAAACAAATGGGACTACATCAAACTAAAAAGCTTCTGCGCAGAAAAAGAAACCATTCTCAAAATGAAAAGAGAATCCACTGCATGGGAGAACATACTCGCCTCTGATACATCTGAAATTTCCAAAACATAAAGAACTCATACAACTCAACCAAAGGAAGACAAACAATGCAATTAAAAAATGGCCAAAAGATCTGAATAGACACTTCTTCAAAGAGGACATAGATGGCCAAGAGACATAGGAAAAAATGTTCAATGTCACTAATCATCAGAGAGATGCAAATTAAAACTACAATGAGGTATCACCTCACACCTGTCAGAATGGCTGCCATCAATAAACCAACAAGCAACAAGTGCTGGCAAGCATGTGAGGAAAAGGGAACCCTAGTATATTGCTGGTAGGAATTCAGACTGATATGGCCACTGTGGAAAATAGTATGGAGTTTCCTCATAAAATTAAATATGGAACTACAGTTTGACGTAGTGATCCCGCTTCTGGGAATGTATCTTAAGAATTTCAAAACACCAATCAGAAATATATGCACTTCTATGTTCATAGCAGCGCTATTTATAATAGCTAAGATCTAGAAACAGCCCAAGTGCCTATTAGTAGATGAGTGGATAAAAAAAATGGTACATTTACACAATGGAATACTAGAAATGGAATACTCTTTTCAACAGCATGGATGTACCTGGAGACTATTATGCTAACTGAAATTAGCCTGTCAGAGAAAGATGCATATCACACAATCTCATTTATATGTGGAATCTAGTGAACAAGAGAAGCTGATGAACAAATAGGTCCAGAGACAGAACCAAGCAACAAACTATTGACTTTAAGATGAAGTAGGGTGGGTGGCAGGAAGAGATTAACCAAATAATTTATATGCATATATGCATAGCCCATGGGTACAGACAGTAATGCAGTGAAGGCCTAGGGTGGAGTGGGAGCTGGGCAGAGTGGGGCAAAGGAGGGGAAAATGGGGGACATCTGTAAATACCCTCAACAATAAAAATAAATTTTAAAAAATCTGACGGGTAATTCTTAAATTTCTGTCATCTTAGTGTTGACATCTGTTGATTGTCTTTTTAAAAAATTCTGTTTGAGATTTTCCTAGTTCTTAGTATGATGAGTGATTTTTGCATTGAAACTTTAGTTGGCGTTTCTTTTTCTTAATGTGTTAGAAGGTTCTGGGTCTTCTTTAAGTCTTCAGTTATAGCTGGCTTTATCTGACATGGTTTTGGCAGTGGAATGGTTTTGCCACCTTATTAGTACAAGATTGAGGGGAGTCCAGGTTCCTCACTTAGCCCTGTTGACATCTGAGGTAGAGGGGCTCCTTGTTATTACTGGTTGGAGGTGGGAATTCCCGCAGAGGTTCCATGGACACTGCATTGGGGTGAAAGTCCTGACTCCCCACTATGCCTTATTTCTCCATGGGGATGGAGAAGGGGCATTTTGTTAGGTGAGGTTGCAAGTCCAGTCTGTTCTTGCAGTCAACTAACACCACAGGAGTGAAGGGCTCATTACCATCTGGCACAAAGTCCCGGCTTCCTATTTGGACCTCTCTGACATCATCCTGTGGTGTGTTGGCGCACCCTGTTACTGTCTCATGAGGTTGGATGTCTCAGCTCACACTCAGCCTTTGCCTGTAGGGGTGGGGGATTTTTTTTTTTTTTGTCTTTTGGTTGCGATGTGGTTATTGACTAAAGGTTTTCTGCCTCTTGCTTCATCCTCTGGTTAGAAAGAGCAGGCTTTTGTTGGGTTGCCAGCTTCGTCAGGTCTAAGTCTGGAATCTGTGAGGCAAAAAGAAAACCCAGTCCACTCATTGTCTTGGCTTTTCTCAGATCCCAAAGTCTCTAGCTGGTCCACCTTTGTCTTTCCTCCTCTCAAAGTCTTCTTATGTTTGCTTTATATATAATATCTAGGGATTCTTGTTGTGCTTAGCAGGAGAAATAAGGAAAAGTACATCTACTGCATCTTCCAGAGAGTGGTAGTTGCCTTTTCTTTTAAGGCCAACGATTCTAAGTCTTTATACCAAATCCTTATTATGAGTATTCCATCCTATATAAATCTGATGCCAGGCGGGTAGAAGCAGAGTCCACCCATCCTTATTCACTTGGAGATTAACTCACATTAGATTGGGTTTTGTGCTGTGTAGCCAGAGAAACTACATCCTATTAGACAGGAGCTCTTTGTCTCCAGTGTTATACTATCCCTTTTCTGTCTGCCTAGTAATTAATCTTGTTAGTCTTTTCCTGAAAGTCGGTGATTTGGTTTTTAAATTTTTATTTTACTGTTTTCCCACAGATCAAGGTAAGTAATTCAAAGATAATAGATTGCTAATATTTTAATTTCATTTTAGAAAATACTTAAGTTTATAGTACTGTTTTTCTTATATAGGTATTGAAGAAAAATTTAAGCCTTTTTATTTCTGTAATTTTGAAGAACATGTAGAAGAAGATGTGAAGAGTTTAAAGGTAGGTAATATAGCAGATGCTAAAAATGTTAACATATCAAAGCATATATATTTTCAGTCATGAAAACCAAAGCAATATAATTTGTTACTGAGATTTGAGGTAAGCTAGTTTGGTAACCTCATAAAACAAAATTAGCATTTTTATGCAGTTATCAACTTGGCATCCTGAACCCATTCCTCCTTCCAAACTAATGAAATGAGAGAAAATATACATAGCAATCTGAAAACAAAAGCACAACTTCTCTAGAATAGAATAGGAAGTGTCCTAGGTGAGTCAGTCATTTTGAGGAAGTGTTAAAAGCTAGGCCAAAAGAATTACATTTGCTGAATATGTAACAAAAAGAAACGCTAACCCAGAGCATAATGCAGAAAAAGAAGTACTAAAGGAGCAAGTCTTGAGTCAATATAGAGGAGAAACATCAAGGTCACCTGCAACATTGACAGGGAGAGTTATTTGGGATCACAGTTATACCAGCCATAAAATTTGGCTCCTCTTCCCAATTCCCTGTGCTAAGCAACAAATGGGAACAATGTCTGCTTTGGTTTGAAGCAGTAGTTTGAAGTCCGTAGTCCGAGAGGCATGTCAAAGACCATTACCAACTAACCAACAAGGAGGAACACAGAGGCCTGCCATACATACACACTCAGGAAACAAGCTACTGCATTAGTCTCACAGCAGCATACTGCTAGAATCATGAAGAGGAGACTGCAGTAAGTGAAACAGGTAGGCAAACAGCAATTTTAAAATACAAAAAAAGAAAAACACTTGGATAGTCAAGAATTGCCAAACTTTTATTCTTTAGAAGAAAGATATCTAATGCAAGCCAAGAAAGAAATCAAAGGGACATCATGAAAGATAGTCACTAAGGCAGAAAAGCATTACCATAGTAATCAGTAATATTTCATATGACAAAAGGTTCAGTTCACGAGGAGGATAATAATAGCTTTAAATGTGTATATGCTCATAAAAACATGGCCTCAAAATACAGAAAGCAAAAATTGGCAGAACTCAAAGAAGAAATAGGCAAATCCACAATCATGGTTGGAGATTTTTTTTTTATCCTCACCTAAGGACATTTTTCCATTTTTTGTCCTGATACAGTGAGAGGAAGAGAGAGAGAGAGAGAGTAACATCGATGTGAAAGGGACACATCAAGTGGCTGCCACCTATACAACCCAACCAGGGTCGGGGACAAACTGCAACCGAGGTGCACCCCTAGTGGGAACCGAACCCAGGTCTCTCTGGACCGCAGGCCGACGCTCTAACCTCTGAGCAAGACTGGCCAGGGCATGGTTGGAGATTTTAATACAGATTTCTCTCTAATTGATAGACCGACAGACAAAAATTTGTCAGTAAGGATATAGAAAATTGGAGAACATAATTAATACATTTGACCTAATGGAAAGATATGAAATAGTGTATGTTATAATTGCAGAATACTTACCTTTAAAGGCCTTTCAAGAACATAAAAAACATTTTCAAAAGTTGACCGTGTACTACAAAATAAAACGAGTCTCAACCAGTTTGAAGGATTGTAATCATATAGACTGATTGCATTCCCTGACTGCATTTCAATTATACTAGAAATTAATCCTAGAAGATAATTAGAAAATCCTATCAGAAATTTAAAAATATACTTTTAAATACCCTTTGAGTAAAAAAAATATTAGAATATAGAAAATATTTGGAGCTAACAAAACTACATATTAAAACTTACAGTATTTGCAACGGGGTACTTACTAGTAAAATATAGTCGTATATATGTCATATTATATATATGAAAGGCTGAAAATGAATTAGCCAAACATTCATCTGCAGAAAGTAACAAAATAAAACTAGAACAAATAGCAGTAAGTGGTAAGAAAAGAGCATAAACTAGTAACATAGTGACTAATAGAGGATCAAAAAATTTAAATGTTGGTTCTTTGAAAAGGCTAATGAAATCAGCTAATTAAGGCTGGTTAAGGAAAACATAATGAAGATTGAAATAATGAATAAAGAGGCATCACTATAGCTCCTATAGACATCAAACTCGTCTTAAGAAGGTATTGTGAACAATTTTTTGCTAACTAATTTTAGAACTTAGATAAAATAGACAAATTTCTAGGGAAAAAGTATTAACTTAGCAAAACTGACTCAAATAGAGTTAGAAAACCTGAATATTCCTGTAATCATTAAAAAAATGATTGAATCAGTGATGAAAATTCTTCTCAAAGAAAATTTCACAACCAGATAGTTTCATCAGTGATTTCTACAAAATATTCAATGAATACATTATTTCAATCTTATAAATTTGTCCAGATAATAGAGAAGAGGGAACTCTCCCAGATTCATTTTATGAGACTAGCATATCCTTGATTCCCAAGCTCAAAGAAGGACAAGAAAAGAAAATTACGGGCCAAGCTCACTTAATATAGATGCAAAAATCCTGAATAAAATATGACAAAATTGATCCATCAATGGACAATGGAAAAGATACTTGGCCTCACTAACAGAGAAAAGAAAATTAATTGATTATAATTTTTCATCTATTACATCAATATTTTTGAGAGATTGATAATATCAAGTGTTGGTGAAAATGCAGACTAACAGGCAATCCCCAAGAGAGAGGAAGGGAGAGAGAGAGAGAGATAGAAACATGGATGTCAGAGAGAAACATCGATCTGTGCCTCCTGCATACCCCCCACTGGGGATCGAGCCCACAACCTGGGCATGTACCTTGACCAGGAATCGAATCGGGGCCTCACAGTCCATGGGGCGACGCTGAATCTAATGAACCACACTGGCTGGATGAGCACATAACTTTTTTTTTTCTCTCTATTTTTTTATTTTTATTAATTGATTTTTGTTACAGATGTTTCTACATTTTTCCCTATTGAAACTCTGTTCCCCATTTTCTCCACCCTGTCCCCAGCTTTGTTGTCCATGTCCATCGGTTATGCATACATGCATGTAAGTTCTGTGGTTTATCTCTCCCCCCTGCCCCCCGTCTTCTGAGGGTTGTCAGTTTGTACCCTACTTCCACGTCTCTGGCTCTACCCTGTTCCTCAGACTGTTATGTTTATTATATTCCACAAATAAGTGAGATCATGTGATATTTGTCATTCTCTGCTTGGCTTGTTTTGCTTAGGGTAATATTCTCCAGGTCCCTCCATGTCGTCTCAAAGGATAAGAAATTGTTCATTCTTACAGCTGCATAGTACTCCATTGTGTATATGTACCACTACTTCTTTTTTTTTTTTTTTTTTTTTTGCATTTATTTTCAGATAGAGTGAGAGGGAGAGAGGAAGGAAGAGAGAAAGAGAAACATCGATGTGAGAGAGACACATCGACTGGTTGCCACCCACACAACTCCAACTAGGGCCTGGGACAAACTGCTACTGTGGTACATGCCCTTAGCGGGAACCGAACCTGGGACTCTCTGGTCCATGGGCCGATGCTCTAACTGCTGAGCCAAACCGGCCAGGGTTGTACCACAACTTTTTTATCCATTCGTCTACTGATGGACACTTGGGCTGTTTTCAGATCTTAGCTATTGTAAATAGTGCTGCTATGAACATGGGGGTACATATATTCTTTCTGATTGGTGTTTTAGGCTTCTTAGGGTATATTCCTAGAAGTGGGATCACTGGGTCAAATGGCAATTTAATTTTTAATTTTTTGAAGTAACACCATAGTGTTTTCCATAGTGGCTGCACCAGTCTGCATTCCCACCAGCAGTGTACTAGAGTCCCCTTTTCTCCATACCCTCGCCAACACTTGTTGTTTGATGATTTGTTGATGGCAGCCATTCTGACAGGTGTGAGGTGATACCTCATTGTTGTTTTAATTTGCATCTGTCTGATGATTAGTGATGTTGAGCATTTCTTCATATGTCTCTTAGCCATTTGTGTGGAGAGGTGTCTGTTTAGTTCCTCTGCCCATTTGTTAATTGGGGTCTTTGTCTTCCTTTTGTTAAGTTGTATGAGGACTCTATATATTTTTTGAAATTAACCCCTTATCTGATATGTCATTGGCAATGATGTTCTCCCATACAGTTTATTTCCATTTTGATGGTTGTTTCTTTTGCTGTGCAGAAGCTTTTGAGTTTGATGTAGTCCCATGTGTTCATTTTCTCCTTTGTTTTTGTTGCCTTAGGTGATGTATCAGTGAAAATTATGCTGCATATGATGTCCGAAATTTTGTTGCCTACATTTTCTTTTAGGATTTTTATGGATTTACAAGTCACATTTAAGCCTTTTATCCATTTTGAGTTTATTTTTGTTTACGGTGTAAATTGATGGTCTAGTTTCATTTTTTTACATGTAGCTGTCCAATTTTCCCAACACTATTTATTAAAGAGGCTGTCTTTACTCCATTGTATGCTGTTGCCACCTTTGTCAAATATTAATTGAGCATAATGTCTTGGGTTCATTTTTGAGTTCTCTGTTCTGTTCTACTGGTCTATATGCCTGTTCTTGTGCCAGTACCAGGCTGTTTTGATTACAGTAGCTTGGTAGTATAACCTGATATCCAGTATTGTGATCCCACCTACTTTGTTCTTCTTTTTTAGCATTGCTGTGGCTATTCAGGGTCCTTTTTGGTTCCATATGAATTTTTGAAGTATTTGTTCTAGTTCTTTGAAATATGTCATGGGTATTTTGATGGGGATTGCATTGAATCTATAGATTGCTTTGGGTACTATGGACATATTAGTGATGTTGATTCTTCCAATCCATGAACAAGGTATGTGCTTCCACTTTTTTATATCATCTTCTATTTCTTTTTTTAATGTCCTGTAGTTTTCTGCAAATAGGTCCTTCATTTCTTTGGTTAAGGTTATTCTAAGTATCTTAATTTTTTTGCCATAATGGTAAATGGGATTGTTTTTTTAGTTTCTACTTCTGTGAGTTCATCATTGGTGTATAAGAATGCCGTCGATTTCTTGATGTTAATTTTGTATCCTGCTACTTTGCCAAATTCATTTATTAAGTCTAGTAGATTTTTGATGGAGTCTTTAG